TTTGTGGGAAGCGAACGTCAGGGTCGGAGTCCCTCACCCCTTGTCACTTAGGAGTCAGTTGTCTGTGGGAAGCGAACGTCGGGGTCGGGGTCCCTTGCCCCTTGTCGCTCACGAGTCATTTGTCTGTGGGAAACAAACGTCGGGGTCGGAGTCCCTCGCCCCTTGTCGCTCAGGAGTCAGTTTGTGGGAATCAAACATCAGGGTCGGGGTCCCTCGCCCCTTGTCGCTCAGGAGTCAGTTGTCTGTGGGAAGCGAACGTCGGGGTCGGGGTCTCTCGCCCTTTTCGCTCAGGAGTCAGTTTGTGGGAAGCAAACATCATTTCCCATAACATAAAGAGGCCCAGAGTGTTCTGAGTTGAATACCGCCATTTCCCGCCTGGTTTCCTTCCTGGTTTGTTTTCTTTAGCTCATCTTTGGGTGAAGAATTGCCGGGGTCTCCTGCAGTCGGCCTATAACAAGCTGCGCTTCGACCAACCTGTAGAGGCTTCGAGCTGGCTGAAGGACTTCCAAACTGCGAATGAGCGTTTCTTGAGTCAGGTGACTAGACTCCCAGAAGTTTGATGCTGGACAGTCCTTAAATAGACTTCATCTTTGTGCCTTGAGCACGGTAGACTGTGGAAAGCTAATATTGTAGCTGGGATCGCTAGGCCATTGTGTGTTTCTCTCCTGTGTCTTACGCACAGTGCGTCACGACCTGGAACTCACTCCTCTGTGCGAACTAAAGCCGCGAAGGAAGCCGTCCCCAAAGCAGTGAGGGGCTTCCCAGCAGCAAAGTCCAGTCACGTGGATCCACTGACTTGCCCCAAGATACAGCCTCAAATCCTCTAAAGCACATTTCCAGCCATAGAATTTTCTCCAGATAAGGTCTTTCATGCAATCAGAAATGTAAGGGTAAAGTTACTCTTTGCTCTGGTGATTCTTGGATACAGTCTCCAGGCCAGGAGTTTTCAACTCTGGATATAAATCAGAGTCACCTGGGAGCTTAAACCTGTGGATGCCAAGGCCTCATCCCGGACCTTTCTAGTCAGAATGCATCACTGGTTTTGTTCTTACGCCGTAGGCAGAAAAGGGCTAGAAAGCATTCACTTCTCTACTGGAGTCTCTCACGTGGCTTGAAAAACAGATTAAAACTGACTCCTAACAACCTTATCCTCCTACCTTCTCAGCTAGGGATGGGTTCATCTTTAGTCTAAATAGCCTTTCTCTGGTTTTTATTTTTGTTTTTAGATAAAAGTTCAGGAGAAGTACGTCTGGAATAAGCGAGAAAGCACTGAGAAAGGCCGTCCTCTGGGAGAAGTGGTTGAACAGGTATAAAGAGGACACGGGATGGGTACTGTGTCGTTCCAGAGGAGGCGTCCTCTGGGCCCGCAAGCCCCTGCCTCTCTTCCCTGCAGGGCCTGACGCGGGTGAAGAATGCCACGGATGCCGTTGGGATCGTTCTCAAAGAGCTCAAGCGTCAGAGCGGTTCGGGGGCATTCCGCCTCCTGGTGGCGGTGGATGGCGTCAATGCTCTCTGGGGAAGGACCACGCTGAGGAGAGAAGATAAGAGCCTGGTAGGAAACTCTGACCTCTGGTGCTGCCTGCGTGTGGCCTGGGACGTGGCCTCGTAGCCCGTGCAGATTTTCTTGCCTTAGGAGCGTGTGAATGAAGATGTAGCATAAAAATGGGACCTGGGGGAGAGGGGGCTGTGGGGGCCCCCCGTCCACTGAAAACGCAAGGCGGGTATTTGGAAAAGAACCCCCGCAGCAGAAGCTGTGTGTTGTCTGTTTTTCTTGCCGCTCTATTTTCAGAAGGAGGCTAGGTGACTGGTTTCTGCAGTGTGGTGGCCGGAGCACCTGGCCTCGGGGCACAAGAGACCCGCGGTGTCGGGAGGGGGGTGTGCTCTCCCTCAGTGACTGGTTTTCATCCGAAACGGGCTGGGGGGGGGCACAGTGGGGGCCGCGGCTGGCAGCCCTCCCCTCTCGGAGGCTGCTCGAGTTGTGGCCAGTCGTTTGTGCCAGGGGAGCGTCCAGGCGCAGCTCGGCCTGACCTCTGTCCCTCCCCGGCGCTGGCGGCGCACAGATGGCCCCCGAGGAGCTGGCACTCGTGCACGGCTTGAGGAAGATGGTGAGAAACGACTGGGTGAGTGTGCGGGATGCCCACTACTCGTCAGTCTGAGTTTAGGGACAGAAGGTTCTTCGTTTCAAGTCTCTGTATTTAGGGGCGCCTGAGTGGCTCAGTCGTTAAGCGTCTGCCTTCGGCTCAGGTCATGGTCCCAGGGTCCTGGGATCGAGCCCCTCATCGGGCTCCCTGCTCAGCGAGGAGCCTGCTTCTCCCTCTCCCACTCCCCCTGCTTGCGTTCCCTCTCTCGTCAAATAAATCTTTAAAAATAAATAAAGTCTTATGTATTTGGCTTCTGATCTTCCCACTGGATTGGGAAGTAGCCATTGTATTTAAGTATTGGCACAATTTTACTTGGCAGTTCGGAGTGTTTTTGTATCTTATCAACTTTGGAAAAGATTTTTATCAATGTGAGATCATGTAGCAGTTTGTGGTCAGAGCCGAATCCAGGACTAATAACCTATTTAGTTGCCATCTACCTGGACTGAAAATCTACAGATGACTAAAATGCATTTTTCTCAGTTTCCCGCCTTTTTCTCATTTGGCCTTTTGTCCTCTCTTTCAGCACGGAGGCGCCATTGTGTTGACACTGAGCCAGACTGGGTCCCTCTTTAAACCGCGGAAGGCCTATCTGCCCCAGGAGCTGCTGGGAAAGGTCCGATCATCAGAAAATCTGGTTCCCCTTAGATGGTCATTCTGTCTGAAGAGGTTTTTTTGTTACTTGTTTTTTTTTAAGACATAATTATAGACTTGGAGAAAAATCGTATTCCTGTATGATTTCATCCAGATTCCTGAAGTGTTAACGCTTTTCTATATTGGCTTTATTCTTTTCCATCTACTTTTTTCCCTGAATTATGTGACAATTACCTGAGACATGCTGCCTGCTTCTAAATAATGTGTATTTCCTAAAATCGAAGACATTCTAAATATATAACCACAGCAGAATTATCAAAATCAGGGAGCTGGCATCGAATAGAATTCTGGGAACTTATCTTGAGAACGGGCTGTGATCTTTCCAGGTCTCCTAGTGTCCTTCACAGAAACAGTCCTGGATCACACGTCCCATTTGATTGTCCTGGTTCTTCGGTCCCTTCACTCTGGGACAGCACCTCGGTCTTTGTCTCTTACAACCTTTTGAAGAGTACGTGCCAGTCGTGGGTGCTTTTGTGGGTCGTCCAGTGACTTCTCCAGATGGTGTCTCTCCTAGCAGCCGCCACAGTGAAGTCTGAACACTTGGTTCAGGTGCCGTCCATCTGCTGTGTCCTCGGTAAAGTCACTGTGGAGGCTCACGCTGAGGCTGCGTAACTATCCTGTTACTCCTCACATGCCCCTTACTGGTCGGAGCGTCCATCTGTGATTCTTCCCTAAACCTGGCTGTGATACTTGCAGAATGGTATTTTCCAGCTCCCTCACTTCTGCGTGTATGTCGGTTGGCATTGTTACATGTGAGAACGTTCCTGCCCCTTACAGTTAACTTGTTTCATTGTGGACACGCAGACTCCTCTTTCATGAGTTCTAAACCTTTACTATCGATCTCTGTTTTGGTGCTGAAATTATTCCAGATTTGGCCAGCAGACGCCCCTGCGAACTGGCTTGTGTCCTCTTCACACGCCCCCATCATTCTTTTTTTTTTTTTTTTAAAGATATCTTTTATTTATCTATTTGACAGAGAGATAGCACAAGTAGGCAGAGTGGCAGGCAGAGGGAGAGGGAGAAGCAGGCTCTCC